ATGATGTCTTGTGAGGCGTTGTATTCGGTTAAGTCTAATTGGATAAGCGTGAAGTTTTTCAATGCCTCTTGTACATCGGTACGTGGGAATACCTCTTTTTCAATCGGTTGACACGCCACACACCAGTCCGCATAGACATCAATAATGATTGGTTTGCCTTGCTGTTTGGCATTGACCAAAGCCTGTTCTAATTGTTCAGCTGTGGTCACTTTGTTCCAAACTAAATGTTCTGTTTGGCTATGTTGAATTTGATAAGCAGAATAACTTTGTTGAATATTCCAAAAACCAGCCACTAAACTGGTAATAGCGATAATGGCAAGAATAACTTTATTGACTGTTTTTTCACTGTCGCGTAGAGCAATAAAGAGATAGATTGCCAATGCGATACACAGCAAGGCAAAAATTGCAGCATACACAGTCGAAGGTAGCATAGGGCGAATAAAGTACAATGCAACCATCAGCATAATAAAGCCAAAACTGACTTTAATCCGATCCATCCATTTACCTGGTTTTGGTAATAATTTAGAACCAAATACACTGGCGATAAATAAAGGTAAACCGATACCTAGACCGAGAATAAATAAGTACAAGCCACCTAATACAGCACTTTGAGTTTGTGAAACAAATAGTAATGCGCCAGCAAGTGGGGCACTCATACAAGGGCCAACAATAAGTGCTGATAATGCACCCATAACCACAGCACCGAGCACTGTCCCAGCTTTTTGATTATTTTGCAGATGACTCAATTTATTGGTGATGAATTGCGGTAAGTTTAATTGATATAAACCAAATAAATTTAAAGCTAACACAACAAATAAAACTGCAAACAATGAAACGATCCAAGGGCTTTGGAACCAACGTTGAAAGCTATAACCAATTTCAGCAACCACAATCCCCATAATGGCGTAAACCACCGCCATACTCACCACAAAGCACAAGGCAATCACAACAGCTTTATAACCTTTCGCGCGCTGAATGATGATGCCAGAGAGAATTGGAATAAGTGGCAGCGAGCAAGGTAAAAACGCCAGTAAAATACCTAAACCGAAAAACACCAATAAATTTAGAAACAGAGAATCTTTAGACAATAGTTTAAAGAATGATTGATCATCATTCCATTGTAATGACGATGTATTGTCTTTAGTGTCCGTATTGCTATTTAAATCAGCAGAATTTTCCGTATCTGTAATTGCATTGCTGCTTGCAGCAGAAGCGTTGAGATCAATTGGATTTGCAGTGTTGTCTGCTTCATTGGCAGTTTTTTGTCCAAGCTGAGTGGTTTGATCATCCAATGCTTTGTTTGGAACTGGTTTTTCAACAGTTGAATTGACTTTAGTTTCAGTGCTTTCTTTGAGTTTTTTATCTTGAGTTGGAACATTATCAGACTGGTTGAGTAATGAGCTATTTGAATTATTATTGAATAGGTGCTTAGACGATGTATTGCTTTGTGGTAATAAGCCATCTGCATCAGTTGCAATAGTTTTTCTTTGTAATGGATAACATAAACCATCCGCAGAACAACCCTGATACATCACTAAATATTGTGAATTTGGTTTGACCTGAATCTGTGTAGTCACATTTTCATAATGAACTTCTGTTTTCCCAAAGGTTGGATCATCTTTGATATGACCTTTTGGGAGGCTTAAAGGTACAGCTTTATTGTTGACTGTTACTTTAAATTGATCATGATAAAGGTAATAGTGAGGTGCAACTGTCCATTTCAATTGTGCTTTATTTTCTGAAATTGATTCAGCAGAGAATTGAAAAGCTTGATCTGGGGGGAGAAACTCAGGATTTGCGTGGCTGATGGTACTTAGACTCAACAAAGTAAAACCACATACACTGAGCAAGGTTCGCAACTTCATAATTCCATATCTTTGTTTCATTTACAGCCATTATCCATAATTTCAGATAAAGAAGGCATTATTCTAAGTTTTTCTTTGTAAAAATACCGTTAAAAGCATTTAACCCCATTTTGCTTAAGTTTTTGAAAAATTTGTCCATCATCAGGATAGAGTCTGTCGAATTGGGTCATTTTCTTGGTTTTTTTGCTGGTGTAATTGACATTGTAAAGCACAGCACCTTGATAAACGATTTCATAAGTTCCTGTTTCTTTCTGATTGATTATTTCTTTATAGAAATCGTGAAATTCACTTGGTCTACCTTGTGCTGTATCAACAGCATCATAGTGGGTAAACTTTAACGAGATTTTTTTCATATAAGGATAATATTGAACTGTTTTAACTTTTGGAAATTCTTCCTCAGAAATAAGCAGAAGATTATTGTTTTGACTTTCCTTAAAGCAAAAATATGGGGTAGTTTGCTTTGCATAAACAGGCAAAGGGAGAAGACACATTACCGTTATAAATAGCCTAAGCGATTTCATATATTTTCCTCAAAGTTTTTCTTGTTATTATTCATAGATTTTTCCAGCCATTAAAATATCTGCAAAAATTTTCCATGGGATGTGCTCTGGTTGTGGCTGCTGAGTATTTGCATAAAAACCCTCCATATCTACCACCCAATTGTGCATTGCTGTTATAAAACTTTGCAAATCTTTATTTTCCCATTGTTGAATATTTTCAAGATGATCTTGTTTGAGATTATCTAAAAATGTTAAAAAATCTTGTTTGGTTTTTATTGCATTAATTTTCATAAGCATCATTTCTAATTTACAGGATAAATTGTTGTATAAATATAGGCCATCTCGCACGTTTTTTGCATTCCAACAATTGAAATTAATTTCAACTAGACCCATATAGAAATTAGTCAACAGTACAGAACAGACACTTTGTGAAATTTGATTGATGATCAAGCTCACGATAACAAGTCGAAGCTCAACAATAGGATTAGGACATCATATGAATATCGCGGCAAACCCAGTAGTTGAAGCAGATCAAACTATATATTTAAAAGATTATCAAAAACCTTCATATGTTGTAGATTCAATCAATCTCGATATTCAAGTTTATGATGACCATACCAATGTAAACAGCAAATTAGTCATGAAACGCCAAGCAGCAGGAGATATGGTATTGCTTGGACGCGATCTTGAGCTTAAATCAATTTCTATTAATGGTAAGCAGCTTACTGAAAGTGAGTATAAGCTTGATTCTGAGCAACTGGTAATTGCCAATGCGCCAGATGAAGCCATCGTTGAAACATCTGTGGTCATTCATCCTGAAACCAATACACAACTCGAAGGATTATATCTTGCGGGGAGTGATTTATTTGTCACTCAAAATGAGCCAGAAGGTTTCCGTAAAATTACGTTCTATCCTGACCGTCCAGATGTCTTATCTGTGTTTACCACTCGTGTAGAAGCCGATAACAAATATCCTGTACTTTTGGCAAATGGTAACTTGATTGAAGCGGGTAAAACTGGTGATGAGCGCCATTATACCATTTGGGAAGATCCAACCAAAAAGCCAGCTTATTTATTTGCCTGTGTGATTGGTGATTTAGCGGTTTTAAAAGACCGTTATACCACTTCAGAAGGTCGTGATGTGGCATTAGAAATCTATGCAGAAGAAAAAGATATCCCAAAATGTCATATTGCGATGGAAGCATTAAAGCATTCCATGCGTTGGGATGAAGAACATTATGGACGTGCATACGATCTGGACAATTATATGATTGTGGCAACCAGTCAGTTCAATATGGGCGCAATGGAAAATAAAGGTTTAAATATTTTTAATACGTCATGTGTGCTTGCTGATGAAGAATATACTACTGATGCCGCAATCATGCGTGTACAGTCTGTGATTGCACATGAATATTTCCATAACTGGACAGGTAACCGTATTACTTGCCGTGATTGGTTCCAATTGTGTTTAAAAGAAGGTTTAACGGTTTTCCGTGATCAGTCTTTTTCAGAAGATTTACAATCAGCAGCAGTACAACGTATCGACGATGTTGCAGTGCTTAAAGCGCATCAATTCCCAGAAGATGCAGGCCCATTATCGCACCCGCCACGCCCAGATCATTTTGTGGAAATCAATAACTTCTATACTGCGACAGTGTATGAGAAAGGTGCGGAAATTAACCGCATGATGTCAACTTTATTGGGTAAGGAAAAATTCCGTAAGGGTACCGATGAATATTTTCAACGTCATGATGGTCAAGCGGTCACTGTTGAAGATTGGGTTGCTGCCTTAACTGCGGGTTCAGGTGTCGATTTATCTGCATTTTTAATCTGGTATAACCAACCAGGAACGCCAAAGCTTGAAGCTAAAGGTGAATATGATGCGAGTACTCAAACTTATCGTCTAAGCTTTAAACAAAGTTTAAAATCCCATCCTAAATATCCAAACTTAAAAGCTGTACCTATTCCTGTGGCTTTAGCATTGTTTAATGCAGAAACAGGTGAGCAGTACACCCTGCATTCTGAGGCTTTATTTGAAAATGGGGTAAAAGATGGGGTGTATTTGTTTGATCAAACAGAAGCAAGCATTGAATTTACAGGTGTGACCGAAAAGCCTGTAGCATCTTTATTACGTAATTTCTCAGCACCGGTAAATCTTGAATTTAACTATTCAGATGAAGAACTTGCATTCTTATTGCAATATGAAACCAATGGTTTTAACCAGTGGCAAGCAACACAGACTTTGCTTGAGCGTATTTTGCTTAATGGTCATGATGCTCAAATTTATGTAGATGCAATTAAACAGACCTTACCAAATGTAATTGAAAAAGATCCGCTATTGGCGTCACGCTTATTTGATGTACCAAGTGAAGGTTATTTGGGTAGTCGCATTGATCAAGATTATAATCCTTTGATTGTAAATGAAGCACGTGAAGCCTTGTTGAATCAATTGGCTAAAGTCTTGGGTGACTTTGTTAAAGAAACATATGTATCACTTGATCCAGATTCACAAAATGAATTTTCACAAGCAATGGGTGTTCGTGCTCTAAAAAATATCATGTTAAGTTTTATGGCGCGTCAAGGGGATACCGCAGTATTTGATTTGGCTTATGCACAGTATGAAAATTCTGTGAATATGTCTGAGCGACTTGGGGCACTTAAAGTATTGGTATGGAATGATGCTCCACAAGCAAAAGCAGCCTTAGCGGACTTCTATAAGCGCTTTAAGGATGAAGCATTGTCATTAGATCAATGGTTTATGATTCAAGCAGCGCATCCGAAAGCAACGGCTGAAACGATTCAGTATTTAACTTCACATGCTGATTATGATTTAGGTACACCTAACCGTATTCGTTCAGTGAGTGGTGGTTTAAATGCCAATCCTGTCAATGCATGGAGTTTTGGTGTTCAGCATTTTGTAGATTTGGCGAAGTATTTGGATGAGAAGAATCCAATTGTTGGCTCTCGTTTACTTCAAGTGCTTACACGCTGGTATACATTAGCTGAACCACAACGAAGTGAAGTAAAAGCCGCACTTGAAGGATTAAAATCTCAAGTGAAATCAAAAAATGTCAGTGAAACCTTAAATAGTATGTTAAGTGTTTAATTACTAATAATTTTTTATTTAATTATATTTGTAATGCTATTTCTCTTATTTTTATAGGAGAAATAGCATGTTTATAAAGTTGTTGAACCTATTAATATGTATCTTACAAACTATTGATAAAAAAGTTAATCAATTAGTGTGTAGTCCGAGTTTGAAATCGTTTTGTAAAAATAAGGGTTTTTAAAAATTATTAATCCTTGTTTTGTGAAGCTAATGTCTATCTTCTTGTTTGAATCTATTAATATCAAGCATTTATTTGTTCCACATGTCATAAATTTAACATTTAAAAATTTCGGAGTGGTTAATTTTTTTGATTTAAATAAATAATCAATACTTTCATCTTTTATTGAAATACTATTAGTATCTGAGTAAATGAATTGATTTATAGCATCTGAAGTTCCTTTCTTTTCAATACCTGCTAAATAAAATACAGTTACTAAAATTAATAAATAAAAAACAACTAGATAAGCATAATAATAAATAATTTCTTTAAAGCCTTTGTCTATGTTTTGTGTATCAATAGAGTCATTCCAGTTAATTTCATTTTTAGAAGTATTATGGGTTTTTTTAAACAATAGTTTTAATGGATATGTAATTAATGCAAAAAACAAACCTAATAATAAGATGAAAGTTATAGCTACTATTTCAATATAATGACAAGGAACTGGGAATTTTTGATAAAGAAAATTTGAAACAATGGATATGATGTAATAAATTTTTCTTAAAATAAATAAAAAAGGTTTTATTGTTGTATGAAATAGTATATTAAATATTAATACAAATAAAAAAGTAGCAATATAAAGCCCGCCTTTTATAAAAGACTTACTAATATTTTTGTTTGTCAATGTATTTGCTAAAGATATTAAAAGTAAAAGGAAAAAGCTAAACACTAATCCCTTTACACCTTGCAATCCACCAATGATTAAGTAGTTTTGAAAATCATAGCCCAATGAATGATGGGAATAGCCAAAATATCCAACATAATTTTTAATATAAAAAAAACCACATGCATATAAAAATATAGATAAGGCTGTAAAAAGTAGAGCTAAATCTACGCTAAAATTTGTTTTCAATGTAATTTCTCTTTTTTGTTTAATATTCTATCTGATTTGTAATTTATTCTTTAAAAGTCTCATTTAGAGCCTGTTGCACAGCATCTACACGTGACTTACAGGCTTTATATGCAGACATGGACTCTTCCACAATCTTCATCAAATTATCAATATCAGGTTCTTCTTGAGATTCTAATAGTTCAGCATTTTTCTTTAGAACGTCATAACCTTCTTTAAATGTTAAATCTTGTTTAGCCATTGCTTAATACCTGTGTCACATTTGCGTTAATCGTACCATCCAATAACTCTACTTGGATGTGATCAGTTGAAATTTGTTGAATAGAACGAATGGCTTTACCATCACTACGGACAATAGCATAACCTTTGGCCATCACATGACGTGGATTTTGCAAAAGCGTTTCACGCATGAGTGATTCAACTTGATTGGATGCCAATTTAATCAGTTGCTGTGCCAAATACTGAACAGTACCTTTCATCAAATCTAAGCTTTTATTTGCCTCATTGATCTGCCCTTGAGAAAGCGTTTTAATGACTTTGATGTACTGATCATTCTGGCTTTGATAAGCAGTGATTTGATGCTGAGATAACAATTTAATCTTATGTAGAGAATCTAGCACATCTTGGGTACGCTCTACGATTAGATTTCGAATACCTCCAATCACTTTACTCGGTGTATCAAAAGAACGGTTCGCCACTTCATCTAAAATGGTTCTATCTTTTTCATGACCTATACCTACCCAGATCGGAACAGAGCGTTTGCAAAGTAGCGCAGCGAGATTGTAGTCATTGAGATAGGCCAGATCATTGACTGCACCTCCACCACGAATAATCACAATAAGATCTGGTGGTGTATTGAGGTCTTTCGCCCATTGTCGTAATGCATTTGCTAAAGCCTCAGAAATACTTGTCGCTGCAGTGTTCCCCTGAAACGTTGCCGTATGATAGACAAAATGACAAACCCCAGCTTGATCGAGAGCATCTGCATCTTTCTTAAAGTCACCCAAGCCAGCCGCATTTTCAGGAGCGATGACGAGCACATTTTGAATATCAAATGGGGTAGGCAGTAATTTATTTTTATTGAGTAAACCTTCGCTGGTCAGTCTTTCTAAAATTTGTTGATAACGCCGTGCAAGATCACCTAGGGTATAACTTGAATCTATTGCTTCAATATTGACTGAAAAACCGTATTGGGGACTAAATACAGCTTTCACTTTAATCAGTACATTGAGATCACGAGAGAGTTCAACGCCACTTTCACGTTCAAACGTTAACACCATTTTGGCAGCAGAGAATTTCCAGATTGTTGCCTTACAACTGGCAATGACTTTATCTGAATCTTCCTCCTTTTCTGCAAGTTCTAAGTAGTAGTGGCCGCCTTTGATACTCAGATTTCTAATCTCAGCTTTCACCCATATTGCTTCATCAAAAGTTACACGTATAACTTCTTGAACAGTTGCAAGGTATTCGCTTAAGGAAAGTTGTAAGTCTGACATACAAAGGTAATTACGGTAAATTTATCTAAAATAGTATATAACATGGTGGCTTAATGCGGTGAAGATATATCGATCTTATGTAAAGTGAAATAGCATCTTTTTTGTTACGATGAAGCAAATGATTTTGCTTCATACAGTTTGACAATGTGTATCCCGACTTCCCCAAAAAGTGGATATTTTCTAAAAGTATTTTTTGAAAAAAAGTTTATCTAGAGTGAAAGAGTCCGGCTTGTTTGTAAAAATAAAAAGTAAAATGAAAATATAAAGCAAATCATGGATATAGAAAAACCAGCTTATCCAAGTGATCAAATTAAGATCCGGTGGGATTGTATAAATACCAACGGTTACGAGTGCAACAAAGCAAATAAAGATCAATATAAGGCTGGTTAACTGAGTAAATAATCCTATGGTTAGCAATAGCCCGAATACAAATTCAAATAAAGAAACAATGATAGCTGTCACTTCTGGAAAAGGTATACCTGCCGAAACAATCGTTTCCAACATGATTTGTTGATTTTTCTCTACAAATAATTTGTTATAACCCGTTGTAAAGAAAAATAAACCGATCGAAATTCTGGCTAATATTAAGGCGAAGTGACTAAATTTTGGCGAATTAAATGGATTTTTAAAGAGAAAACCAAGCATGTGTCTATGATTCTGAAAATTAGAAAATATCTTAATAATCTGAGCAGACTTTTTAAATGTAAGCATTGTTGGTGAGTGTATATAATTTGTCATTTATACAAATTTAAAATGTTGCTAAGGTTGTTCGAAATGTTACGTAAGTTTCACAAAATACACATCAAGAAGTTCATACTTTGATATGGTGTATTTTAAGCAAAACTGAGCGAACTATGAAAATATTTTCAATTTTAAGTTTAGCTATGCTGATCGGCTTAACAGCGTGTCAAAAAAGAGATTCAGATACACAAAAGCAAGATCAAACAACAACGCCACATTCAGTCGATAAGGACAGTTAACCCAACGCCCACTGATACAGTGGGCTGATTGATATAATGGATTGGCGAAATCGTGTTTATGCTAAGACGCTTAAAGCGTCTTTTTTATTGTAAAGATAAAGTCTTGTTTGAGATTAGACAAATATTTTATAGATAGATCTTTGATTCTTTAGGCTCTATTTCACAATTAAAAGATATCGAAAAGTGGGGGAGTTATTAATTTTAAAGCAAAGTTTTATTTGGATTTTTTATATCTAATTCAAGTAATTTTTAGGCTTCCTCTATAACAAATCATACTGTAGGCATAAGCTAAGATAGCGTAGTAATTTTCTTTAATGATATAAAGCCGTCTCGTTCTAATCTGCAATGACAGCACTTATCTAGGCTTAATACATCCTATTCATTGATCAAAGAATAAAACTAAATATTTAAATTAAAACAAAATTCAAGCTTAAAATGTATAAGGTTCTAAGTGATTGTTATAATTTATGTAGACAACAAGTAGTTATTCGCAATAAGTGGTTGGATTGCTCTAAAGCGCTATGTTAGAACTTAACTTCCATATTTATTCGAGATTAAACATGAAAAAATTATTATTAATTTCATCTTTTTTAGCTGTTGTTTTTGTTGCTGGGTGTAGTGCAAAAGACAAAGATAAAGCGACATCTCCTGATAATGAGGTAAGTAGTAGCGCCGTGGCTGTTGATACAAATGAGTCGGCTGAAAAAACGGTGAAGTATGAAACCGTTGATAAGAAACAATTTACACTTAAGACCAGTGATAATTTTGTTACAGCGACATTAACGGATAGCGATGGAAATAACTATTCATTGAAAGAAGTACCTGCTGGAAGCGGTATGCGTTTAGAAGGTGACAATGGTGTTTCAATTCATTCTAAAGGCGATGAAGGAACCATTGAACTTGCTAAAGATAAATCTTTTACAGTGAAAGAAGTTAAATAGAATTGTGACGTAAATAGCCCCACCATTTGGTGGGGTTTTTTATTCGTAGTTCATCAATCAAAAAATGATCGTATTGAGTGAATCATATTGATGTTAAAAGTTATTGCCCCCTTTGGGAGAAGGCTAGGATGAGGGGGAGTTTATGCTGGCTTATCGCCCTAAAAGGACTTATGAAAGAAGCCGAATAGTTTGAGAGAAAACTGTACACATTAAAATTAAGTACTTTAAAACCCATTCAAAAATAAGATATTTACGGGCATTTCATTATTTGTGCACTTGAATAGACCGACTAATTGTAAACAATTGGCGCAATATCTATTGAAATGAACAGATTAAAGTAATTTTACCGTGGCATGAAATTTGCTGAAAACACCTTTGTAATATTTTTATTTTTCAATTATTAAAGGTATTTTTATGTTTAAGCATACGGTTCTTTCACTGTTTATTTTCAGTGCTATCAGTATTTCAGTCGTTCATGCTGAAAGTTTTAATGTTCTTAAGCAATTATCCAATAAGCCTGTTCAATTAAAAGACGGTGAATACAAAGGCAATTATTATGTACCCTCGACTTTAAATACGATTACTTGGGGTTACTTACCGAATAAAGATGCCAAGCCTGTGATTTCTGTTCCGTCGGGGAGTGTGGTGACTTTTGATACAGTTTCACATGAAGGTTTACTTGAAGATCAAGGGCGAGATGCAGAAAAATTCTTTAAATCAAAAGGGGTGAAAGATGAATACATTTTAGATGAAGCAAAAAATATTACAAAATCTTCTCTAAAACATGATTTTCATAAAGATGGACCTCATATTGTGACTGGCCCAATTGAGATTCAAGGTGCACAAGCTGGTGATATTTTAAAAGTAGAAGTCATTAAAGTAGAGCCTCGTGTTCCCTATGGCGTTATTTCAAATCGTCATGGTAAAGGTGCTTTAGTGGGGGAGTTTCCTAAAAGACCGAAACAAGAAAATGCTTCGGCTGAACATCCTGAGCGATATGGGAATGTTTCGGTCTTTACCCCAATAGAAAAAAATGCGAAAGGTGAATATGAAGGGGTACTAAAAACACAATCAGGTAAATCAATTCGTTTCCCGCTAAGCCCGTTTATGGGCATTATGGGGGTCGCACCGAATACATCACAGCCAGTTCATTCAGTACCACCAGCGATGTATGGCGGTAATATTGATATTAATGAGTTAGGTGCTGGATCAACTGCATATTACCCAGTACAAGTGCCGGGTGCATTGTTCTATACAGGTGATAGTCATTTTGCCCAAGGTGATGGCGAAGTTGCTCTAACTGCATTAGAAGCTTCAGCAAGAGCAACACTCAAATTCACTTTATTAAAAACAGGCAAAGATAAAATCCCAGGTAAAGCAATCGTACAGCCATTAGCAGAAAATGCTGAATTTTGGATTACACCAGGATTAGATGAAGATTTAGATGAAGCAATGAAAAAATCTACACGTGAAGCGATTCGTTTTTTAAATCAAGAATATGGTATTGATGAAGCGATTGCTTATGCTTATTTAAGCGCTGCTACTGATTTTGAAGTATCGCAAGTGGTCGATAAGACCAAGGGGATCCATGCCAAAATACGTAAAGCTGACTTTAAAGAGTTTGTTGAAGACGCTAAGTAAAACTAAAGTTGAAATTTAACCTGAACTGACAGATACATC